TGATTAATTTCTTTCTATTTTTAGTAGAGACGGGGTCTTGCTCTTGCTCAGGCTGGTCTCGAACTCCTGAGCTCAAACAATCCACCCGCCTTGGCCTCCCAGAGAGCTAGGATTACAGGCGTGAGCCACCGTGCCCAGCAGTTACTCTTTTCTTTAAAACCAGCCTGACGGAGCTGCAATGCACACACCGTAAAATTCACCCACCGAAGGGTGTTGCCCAAGTCAGTGTTTTTAAAAATATATTCAGGGCTGTGAGACGTCTCACGGTCAGTTCCGCAGCTGACGTTGCCAGAGCTCAGGGCGGGCTGTTTCAGGGCCATGCGGGCCTCGAGGGCGGAGAGGGTGGGGGGGGGCAGGGGAGTGATCCCACACTTGTGATCTCTTAATAAGATTAATGGAATTTGCTAGAGCTATCTGTCTTGGTCGCGCTCAGACGCAGAAGGCGGAGAGCTTCAGGCAGCAGCCGGCGACCGCCCCCAGCTCGCCAGCACGCCGCGCTCTCTCTGAAGCACGGACGTCGTCGTCGGGGGGCCTCAAAGCCACAGCCGGTTCGAGAAGAAAATGGCTTCACCCCAGGACCACGCCTACCACCTCCTGAACGAGTACTCGAACGGCTTCATGGTGTCCCAGGTATGGGGGCCATGGCGCGTGGGACAGGGAGACAGATCCGGTCATCGCACCGTGGCTGCGTGTTTCCACGGACGTGGACCCCGTCTAGCGGTCTGTCCGCACCCGCAGACCCGGCCTCAGAGGGATGGCGTGCAAAGCTTAAAATAAAACGTGTAGGATTACGAAGCAGATGCCTTGGATGGAACTACTGAAACAGCTGAGGCGTTTTCAGATAGAGCAATGTACGTGTTTGTTGATCAGCGTGCTAAGTGACGAGACAGTGAGTTTATAGTGCAGGTGAGATTTGGAGGTGCGTCCACCCTGCGTCCGCACATCACCCCTTCTCGTGGCCGAGCGGCAGCACGCTCAGTGACAGAGTCGGACGCAAAAGCTCACAAATAGTACGGCTCCATTTACGTGAAATGTCCGCAACAGGCAAATCCTCAGCGGGTGGATTCATGGTTGCCCGGGGCTGGGGAGGGGGCGTGGGGAGTGCCTGCTGATGGGGACGGGGTCTCCTTTTGGGGGGATGAGAATGTTCGGGAACTAGACAGAGGCGGTGAATTGTGAATTGCATTGTTCGCTTTAGAATGGTTAACGGCGCGTTTCGTGTTATGTGAGTTTGACCTTGAAGGCGCGGAGACTAGTCAATTTCGAGAACACAGACTTTGACCATTTTGGGGCCAAACTACCTCTAGGCAGAGAGAGGCCGGGGGCTTAGCCACCCGTGAGCAAGGCCGAGGTTGGGGACTTCCGTGGTTTCTCTCGCTCACCGAGCCACGGGCTGTGGTTTCCGTGCTCGTTCGCGGCTGAGGGGAGGGCTGAGTTCGGGTAGCGGTTAGGGAGCAGTTAAGTGACATTTCTTCCCCGTCTGAGTTCATGCATCCTCCGAATTCCGTCCGTAGGCTCCCAGGGGGTACGAATAAACTATTTTAGAGCCACTGAAGTACAGACAGGGAGCATCGGCCCGCGGGAGACGCACTAATTTCTTTCCTTCCCCCTTGTCTGGATGTATCTGGCCAGTGGGGGCTGCCTGGTGCCCACTCAGTGCCTGGTGCTGGGTCACAGTGCTGTTCAGGGGGTGGCACCTTGGGTTACAAATGTTAAGAGAAAAATCACTTCGGGACACCTGATACCACGTTATGTGAGTTGGCACAAGTTTAACAGAACAATTAATTAATGCAGCCTTAAGAGGACAAGACTTGATACAACCTTAGTAGGATAAAAGTTAATACAACCTTAATAGGATAAAAGTTAATGCAACCTTAATAGGATAAAAGTTAATACAACCTTAATAGGATAAAAGTTAATACAGCCTTGACCTGGCAGGGCTAATACAACTTTAATACAATAAACTTAATACAGCATTAATAAAACACGCACTTAACACAACCGTAACAGAACAAGAATTAACACAACCTTGATAGAATAACGCCAAATACAACCTAATAGCACAGAGTTAATACAACCTGAACAATGCAAGAGTTAATACAAACTCAATAGAATAAAATGTAACACAACCTTAATAGAACAAGAGCTACTGCAACCTTAATAGAATACATTTTCACACAAGTCTAATAGAAGAAGAGCTAATACAACCTTAATAGGATAAAACTTAATGCCCCCTTAGCAATTAGTTAATGCAACATTTTAATAGAACAAAAATTGATACAACCTTAATAGAACAAGAGTTAGGACAACCTTAATAGGCTGAAACTTAGTACACCCTTAACAAAACAGTTAGTTAATGCAAACTTAATAGAGCAAGAATTAATACAACCTTAACAGCATAAAACTTAATGCCCCCTTAACAGAAACATTAGTTAATACAAACTTAATAGAACAAGAATTAACATAACCTTAATAGAACAAGAATTAATACCAACTTAATAGAACAGGAGCTAATACAACTGTAACAACAGTTAGCATAACCTTAACAGAATAAGAGTTAATAGAACTTCAATGCAGCGGTTCCCTCTGGAGGACTTTGCAGAGATTTGGTCGTCTCCGCTGGGAGGAAGGTGCTATGTCCTGTAGGCATTGGTCCCCAACCTTTTTGGCACCAGTGACCGGTTTCATGGAAGACAATTTTTCCAGGGACGGGGGGCGGGTATGGTCTCGGGATGATTCAAGCACGTTACATTTATCGTGCGCTTTATTTCTGTTATCACTACATTGTAATATATAATGAAATAATTACACAACTCACCATAGGTTGGGGACCCCTACTCTGGCGGGTGGGGTCGAGGGACGCCACTCAACACCCCATGGCATACGGCCCAGCCTCGCACGGGCAAGGAATTACCGGCCCCGATGTCCGTAGCGGCGCGGTTGGGAGATGTCCGGGGGACGGGCACGCTTGTAGCTCTGACTTGGGCGGGGCAAAGGCAATTTACGTAACCAAAGCGTTTGTGCCCCCGTAATATGCTGAAATAATAAAAACAAAGCAAAACAACGCATCCGCTCGGGCTGGCTGTGGTGTGCGTGTGTCCGGGAGCGCGGTTCCCGGGAGACCGACGGCCGTCCTCGTCTCCGCTGCGGCTCCCAGGTCCTGTTCGCCGCCTGTGAGCTGGGCGTGTTTGACCTCCTCGCCGAGGCCCCGGAGCCCCTGGATTCCGCTGCGGTTGTCGCGCGTCTGGGCACCAGCTCCCACGGGACAGAGCTGCTGCTGGATACCTGTGCCTCCCTGAAGCTGCTTAAGGTAGAAGTGAGAGGAGGAAAAGGTGAGGACTCGTGGCATTTTGAACGGGGCATTTTGAAGTGTGCACACGTTTGCTGTAAAGGGCGAGATAAGAAATATTTTCAACTTTGTGGGCCCTGTGGTCGCCGTGGCAGCTGCTTAAACCTGCCCTTGTAACATCAGAGCAGCCACACACATTGTGTCAATGAGTGAGCATGGCCAGGTGCCAATAAAACTTTATTTATAAAAACAAGTGGGGGGCCGTATTCAACAGCACGTGGGCTGTAGCTGTCTGACCACCATTCAGAGGTGTGTGCATCTGTACCTGATGAAGTATGCAAGGAGTGAGACAGAAGTGTGGGGGAAATACAGGTGAGCAATTTTTCATCGATCAACACGTATTCAGTTACGGGGCTGCCATTCACGATGAGATGACAGTCTGCTTGTGTTGAAGGGTCTTTTCTCCTATGGAGAAATGATGAATGATAAGAGGTGCTCAGTTTGGGGTTTTGTTTTTATGTTCTCACTTTGCAAAATTCAAAAGCGTCAACCCCGTGTCCACGGCCACATCGTGTTTGGCGTCTGGTAGGTCCACGAAATTGCAACATTTAGAAACCATTGTTTGTGTGGATGCACGAACGAACAGGGACGTGTGGTCTGGTCTATTCTACAGTAGACCTCTCTACTTCTTGATTTTTAAGTAAGTCCTTATTTAAAATCTTTCATAGAGTATAGTATAGGTTTCTGCTTGTGCTCTGCCCAAACTTCCAATGGGATTTGCAAAAACCCGCCCACTAGGGGCACTGATATAGGAGGGGCAGGTGGGGACCTCTTTGCTGGCCGCGGGGGCCTGGGACCGGCTGGATTCTGTGGCGCAAACATCGAGGATGGGTTAACCTGACGAGCAAGTATCCCTGGAGCATTTGGCACCTCTGAGACACGCTGCTCGGAAGCCAGGCAGGGTGCGAGCTCACTAAAGCCGCCACAGCCAGCGTCTGCAGACATCACCCCCCTGTCACCCACCCCATGCACCTTGGCGCTGAGACACGGTGACTTATGATAAAGAGGAGACATTTATTTGTCAGAGTTCTGGAGGCTGCAGTGTCTGAGATCAAGGTGCCCACAGGTGTGCTGTCTGCTTCTAAGGTGGCGCCTTGTTGCCACGTCCTTGGGAGGGGACCAACGCTCTGTCCTCATGCGGTGGAAGGCAGAGGGCAAAAGGTGTGATGGGGACCCTCTTTCGGGCCCCTCTATAAGGGCACTAATCCCACACGCAAGGAGGGAGCCCTTGTGGTCTAATCACCTCTTACTGGCCCCGCCTATATGCACAGTAACATCGGCAACATGTGGCTTTTGGAGGGGAGATGCTCAAAACATAGCAAAGCCCTTGGCTGGAGAGGAGGAAGGGGGTTGATTGTGCAGGGTAGGTGGCTCTCAGCTGCTCAGCTCGGGGACAGAGTGGCGGGAGAATCTGTTCCAACTTATCCTCTGCACTCTGCGCCAGGGGTCCACGAATGTGGCCCCCAGGCATCATTCGGCAGGTGGAGAACTTAGCCCTTGGGCTGGACTTCAAGCTTAAGACACTCTTCTTCAGGAACACAGAAAGCCATTCTCTCTGTTCCGAGAGAAACTCAGAGGGGACAGCACCAGGAACAGGGCCAGGTAGAACCCCATGCAGAACAACGGGGCCCCGTGAGCACCCGGTCCCAGGAGGAGGAGGAAAGGATGTAGGGTCAGACTCAGAACTAGCAAAGGTACAAATTTACATTTGAATATGCTCCGTCCAAACTTCCAGTGGGATGTGCAAAAACTATCCTCAGGGTTAGGGTTAGGGTTAGGGTTAGGTGACCACCTGCCCCGGGGACACCTTTGCTCCCTGTGTACGAGCCCCCGGCTGTAGGGACGTCCACACTCCCAGGCAAAAATCTCCTTGAAGTCTACACACTACCAATGCCAGCAAGGACCTGGAGTCTAACCGCCTTTTTGTGTTCTTTCTGTGTGCTTTCAGCGTTCTATCAAAACACAGAGCTCTCCAGCACCTACCTGTCCAGGGGCAGCCCCGTGTCTCAGCGCAACATGCTGCTCTACACGGCCAGGACGACCTACCGGTGCTGGGGCCACCTGGCCGAGGCCGTGAGGTGGGCGTGGTGCAGGCGGTGTCCACTGAGTCTCAGTGTCCCGGTGCTGGTTAAATAGAGGGCGCTGGAGGACTAGAGATGTCAGGTGTTTTGTAGAAACAC